TCTTAATAAATTGGAACTTTGAGCAATACTTTGCCTTGGACTCTGATTTACTTTTGGATGCTATTTGGAACCCTGACTGCGATTAAAATGCTGGGCTTTTCGACTGGAAGGTTGTCCGTTCAAGACCCAAGGACCGCATGGCAGGGGTGAGCTCCCGTTCCTTGCTCCAGCTTCTGCCAACCTAGCAGTTCGAAAGCATGCAAATGCGAGTAGATAAAAAGGTACCACTTTGGTGGGAAGGTAACCGTGTTCCAGGAGACACGGGGTATAGTCCTGCTGGACACACATGACCACAGAAGCATCTTTGGACAACACTGGCTCCCTCGGCTAGGAAATGGAGGTGAATACCTCCCCCCTTACTACTTGTTCAGTTGTGTCCAACTAGAGTTGGACACAACTGGACAGAGGAAACTTTTACTTTTTACTGTACAGCAAATTCTCTCCCCCGCCCCCCTCCTGCTCCCCATTGCTTTTCTTGTTCCCCTTCACTGGCTTCCAAGACAGAGCAAATGACAGCTCAAACAGTTCAGGAAGTTCTCGACTTAGAACCATTCATTTAATGGCCGTTGGAAGTTACAATGCCACTGAAAAAAGTGAATTGCAACCAGCCCTCACCCTTACGAATGTTGCGGCATCCTTACAGTTAAGAAAACAAAACTTGAGCACTTAGCAACTGGCATGTGTTTATGACAGCTGCAGCATTTCTGGGTTTGACAAAGCCAGTTTCCTTTAACAATCACACGATTCGCTTAACAACTGTAGTGATTCACTTAACAACCGAGGCAAAAAAGTTATAACACTGGGCACGACTCCCTTAATAACTGCCTTGCTGGTTCCAATTGCAATTGTTAAGTTTAGGCCCGTGATCAGTGGTGAATTTCATTTTTTTTTTACTACCGGTTCTGTGGGCGTGGCTTGGTGGGCGTGGCAGGGGAAGGATACTGCAAAATCTCCATTCCTACCCACTCTGGGGCCAGACAGAGGTGGCATTTGCCAATTCTCCGAACTACCCAAAATTTCCATTACTGGTTCTCCAAACTACTCAAAATTTCCATTANGATGTTTTAATGATTGACGAATGATGAAATATTTGTGTTTTAAAAGAAATAAAACCTTTGGGGGAAAAAAAGCACGCCCACAGAACCAGTAGTAATTTTTTTTTGAATCCCACCACTGATGCCGGCTTGCCACTTGTGTGACCCTGTTGTAAATAGGCAAGGACTGGTAATGGGATGTGGTCTGGAGGTTGGAGACCCCTGGATTAGATGGCTTCCAAGTTCCTTCCCAACTGAAGTGTGAATGCAGCTCTTAGATTTTTTTTCTGACCCAACTGAATCCATGGTGTGAATGCAGCCAATGCCCTCCCTATACCTGGGTTGCAAGCCTCCCTTTCAGCCAGCCTAGGGCCTCCAATCTCCACCCTGACCCACCTGGAAATGGTCCCTCTTCTTCTGCGCAGGTACAGGCATGTAGGCTCTTTCCCGTGTCTTCAACTCGTTCAGTTGCAATTCCCCTTTAGCCGTATAATTCAGCTGGTCAATAATCCCAAACACGAAAACGCCTTCTAAAACGCCGAAGACCGGACATTCCCGCACACGCTGACCTGCCAGGGATAAAGCCGCATATGAGCAAGTAAGACAACACCTAGAGTACTGCATCCAGCTGTGGTCACCACACTATAAAAAAGATGTTGAGACTCTGGAAAAAGTGCAGAGAAGAGCAATTAGGGGATTGGAGGCTAAAACATACAATGAACAGTTGCAGGAACCGGGCATGGCTAGTCTAGTGAAGAGAAGGACCAGGGGAGACAGGATAGCATCTTCCAGTATTTAAGGGGCTGCCACAGAGAGGAGGAAGGGGTCAACCTATTTTCCAAGGCACCTGAAGGCCAGACAAGGAATAATGGATGGAAACTGACCAAGGAGAGATTCAACCTAGAAATAAGGAGGAACCTTCTGACAGTGAGAACAATCAATCAATGGAACAGAAGTTGCCTTTGGACGTTGTGGGGGAATTCATCACTTGAGTCTTTCAAGAAGAGATTGGACTGTCATTTGTCAGAAATGGTGTAGGGTCTCTTGCTTGGGCGGGGGGTTGGACTAGATGACCTACAAGGTCCCTTCCAACTCTGTTAATCTGTTAAATCTTATCTGTCAAATCTGTTAAGCACCTTTGCCATCCTGAGGGGCACATTCCACGAGCAGCATACCCACCTTTTCGTAGATTAGTTATGGTCAGGAGGATGTTAAGCAGCTTGATGGCCCATCTGTCTTCTCGGCTGTTAGTCTTTACAGGCACCAGGTTATGATCTTGCAGTTCTGGAAAGAAGCAGCCACAGAGAAAGAACGTTGCTTTCCTGCCCTTAAAATACCTCTATAGCACAAGTGTCAAACTGGCCACGTGACATATGTTTTCCCCCCCTTTGTGGAGCTGGGATGGGCATGGCCTGCTCATGACACATCCTGCCCATGGGCTGCCAGTTTGACACCCCTGCTCTATAGCAAGATGACTGTCAGGCCTGCAGCCATCTTTCTTTTGGATCTTTGGCCTGCCACACTTTCTATTATTCTACTACGCATTTTCTATTATGGGAAAATGGGAGGGGAGATTGTACGAAGTTAGATGCAATGTAGCCATAACAACATTCTTTCTAGAAAGCCAAGGTCATCCTTTGTCTTTGCACCTCTGCACCTGACCAGAACTGGATGGGTGGAACTGCCAGCATGGCAGAGGGAGATTGGACCATGTGATGGACTTGTGGGTGTGGGGGAAAGATCTTGAACTTTCAACTAGGTGGGGGAAAACTGAGAAGCTTTCAGATACGGGTTTTCCAAGATGGGCCAACATGGGTCTCTTAATAAATTGGAACTT